CACTTTTCTATCTTTATTATTTGCCGATAAAAGATATGTTGCATTATTTTTTTGTTTAAGTATAACCTAACATACTAAATATAATTATAACTTACTTGCTCTGTTACAAGCTCTCCTGCCCCACAATACAGAAAAGTATTCATCAAGAAGATAATAAAAAGTAATATTGAGAAATATCCTTGTAGGATAACAGTTTTATCTATTTTTCCGTCAGCTAATATCTAAAACATAAATTATAAGTTAGCAAAGGAACATAGAGTAACTCCGGTATTTAAGTTGCGAGGGGATATATGTACATCTCAGAAATGGGAAAAAATAAATATAAGGATAATTTGCACATAATCATTCTATTATTATGCCTTTGTGTTCTATTAATATGGTACTATGATTTCAGTTTTTTTTTAAATTAATATTATTTGTTAAAACCACTATCACACAGTTGAATTGATTAAATTGTCAACGCAATAAATATTGCAATCATATATTATAACTTACATGAGATAATTACCGTAGAAAGTGCGAAAGACTTAAATGTTTGGAGATACGTAATTATAAAGGGAAAGTAAAGAACAGATTACAGCAAAATACAAGTGTTTAACTCTTATATTTATTGTTTAACTTAAGTCTTGTATGTCCCACCTTTTTGGAATATATGGCATTTTTAGCAAGCGGAATTTATGCCCAAAGCATACAAAGTACTCAAATTGGATTCAGTGCATTAAATGTAATAAATTTACTACATGAAACATGTACGTCATAATACTTGTAATACACTGGGCAACAAAATTAACGCAACACTGTAAAATGCTTTTTAAACATCCCGATACGACAATTTTTGACGAAGTTATTGTATCTCGAAATTTGCCTATTTTTGCAGAGTAAACAGATGATGCGTTAATTTTGTTACCCAATGTATATGCAAAAAGTTAAAATTATTATATATATCTATTACATTCTGTATATATATTTATTATTTTTATTCCTTGATATTAATTTGTAAGTTATCGTGCCATTTTACACCTTTTCTCTAAGCATTATTGATAAATCTTCCATAATTCGTATATTCCATGTAAATACTCGGGAAAAAATGTTATGTATATGGATATATTTTATATATAATTATTATATTGTATATAATTATATATAAAACATTTTTTCTCGTGTAGCCGAATATTCTATCTTTATATGGCAAAAAGGCAAGTACTCCAAAAAGTTTCTTTTAAATACATATGAAATACAAGTATTTTGGCATAAAGATTTCTAATATTATTTTCATGGTGGTAAACAGCACAAAGTTTCTATTGGAATATTAAATATTATATTTACTTTATTATATTATTAGTATTTAGAATTAGAAAAGTTACTTTTCAAATTACGTATAAGTTATTGCAAGAATTAAGTACAATATATGTTCAGATACTTCACGTTTTATAATATATTATATCATTTGCACTAATTTTGTATTACTTTTGGTACACAATTTTTATAACAAATACGTATAAGTTGATTTAAGAACTTATAAGTAATTTTATAAAATAACTTTCTCAATCATGGTGTTATTTATCTTAAAAGTAGTAAATACTTAACATATTAAGTTTTCGTGCAGCGTATATACCGGAGTTACATTAATGCATGCTATAAAAGATTTTCTCGAATTTTTTTTATTGCATCTTACAATAGTAAATAAAAATCCGGTTAGGCAGAATACAACACCAAAATGAAATACCAATACTAACATCATTAAAGCGTATGTATTTTCGATATTGTCGGCAAATCTGCGAATAAAATTAATTAAAAGGGATATCACATTAAATCAAACATTATATATATAAAGTGTCCCATTTTAAATAATGAATTAAGATTTCTCGAAAACTATGCGGAAAAATGTTTCAAACAAAAGTTGCATGGTTTAGAGAAAGACATAAAAAGGGACTATTAATTTGACTTTGGGTGTCGTCACCACATCGATTTTTATTAATAGAACACCTTATTTTTGATTGCGGAATCTAATAGCTGGTGTTAAGAGTTTTCTCGAAACATTGTAATAAAGTTATTTTTCATTACGTACTTTATAGTTGAAAATTACACTACACGCCGATATTAGCATTGCGCAAGGTATCCGTTCAACAATTAAAACCTTTTGAATGTTATTTGAATGTTCAGTATCATGTCCTGGGTAACATTTTCAAGATCAAGGCTACTAGAGATTATTTTTCTTGTTTTCATTTCTATACTAAAAATTCATTTGTAAAATGAAAATAAAAAGTACAACCTCCAATAGCTCTGATTTTGACAAACGTTATCCAAAACATGATCCTGAACAGTATTAAAGTTTTAGTCGTCGATCAAACATCTCGCATAATTCTAGTGCCGGCGGTATTATAACTTTCAAGTTAACTCAATTATAACTCAAAAATTACTTAATAAAAAAATCTTAGCGTTTTGAGAAGCTCTCAACACATCAGCTGTTAGATTCTGCCATCAGAAGTAAAATGTTCCACTAAAAAAAATCGATTTGACCATGATCGTTGTCTTGACAACGCCACCCAAAGTTAAATTAATGGTATCTTCTTATGTCCCCCTTCAAACCACACAACTTTTGTTTGAAATATTTTTCTGTATCTATCATAGTTGTCAAGAAATCTTAATGCATTATTTAAAATTGAACACCCTGTATAGATATATTAAAAGCTGTATATATTTAATCATAAAAATATATATATATTATCGACTATTTAACATTGTTAAACGTTCTATTGCCAAAATAAAAATTCATACCTGATAAGACGTAAATGGGTCGCAACGATATTGTTTAAAATTTTATTAAAATTTTTGTATGAGGTCAAATTAATTAAACGGCATTTAAAGATTTCTAATTGGCCACAAATGTGAAGAACTATTACAACTAAAAAGATATCTACAGACATGTAAATGGTAGCTGCCAACAACAGCGTTACCATTTGAATAAAAAATATTAACTCAAATTGCGGACTCTTATCTGTATCGTAGAAGTGATACGTCTCCAATGGTAACGATTTGCGCCGATCTGTGGAATTCGTTACGTACATTATGACAAAGCCAAAATAAGGAAGAGGAATTGTTGTGAAAAACGCTATTATCACAATAATATATCCAATCATCATAATTAATCGCGCTGTTTGTGCTCGTTTTATCATTACATCTCGTTCTTCATCCAGCTTAAATGCCATCCAATCTTCTGCCATCATGTTTACAATCGACAATACAACTTAAAAATGTAAATAATTATAAATAAAATGTAAGCAATGTTAAAGGTGTTAAAATATTGAATTATTTAGACATATGCTGTTATTTGTAAATTACCGCACCAAAAAGAGAATCGTATATAATTCTGGACGTACCCGTTTGTTTCCGTAATATGATAATGTATTTCACTGATACTATTACTTGGGGTAATGTTGTATGTAAATTGTCTATTACGAGTACCATATTACCCCAAACTTGTATAATTGCACGTATCATCGGAACATATGAAACAAATATTAATAAAATAAGAATAATGCCGACCCAAACTTTTGGCCATAAACATTTGCTAGGTTTAGGCCATAAGCCCACCATTTCGAATCCTAAACGTTGTAGATGTATTGCCCACATGAAATCTAATACATTTTTATAATAGCTAGATAATACAATTGTAAATATAATACTTATATTCAATATTTAATATCTAATTATTAAATGTTTGTGCGTAATAAAAGTAAACAATAACACAGTATCAGAAGAATGGATTTATAATAATATAGTGTATACACACAAACTTATTTAGTACATTATTAATTAAACGATTAATAAACAGAAAAATTGTAACATGAAGTTAGTACCTCTGTATCCTGAAGAATTTGTAACATTCATGTTGAAAGTTTGAACATAAAGAACTGTTTTGTTCTTTCCACGGTATAATGCGAAATGATTAGCATGCACTCTATACAAATGCAAAAACTCGACAGCATTGTCAAATGCGGCATTAAATATTAAGAATGCTATTCTCAGTCATAGCTACTTATATCGTAATAAAGAATTTTATAAACGTTCAAATTATAAATTCGTTTATGTCTGATCTAAGAAAATAAGAGATAAAAAATATTATATTGCATTATAAGTTTGTCGTATTCGCTTAAAAAGTTTTTTCCCTGTTTTATGTTGTTCCATTGCGTTTATTACAAAACGAGAAATAACGCTGTTGCATCTTTAATGCTACTTTCTATACCATAGCCACAAAAGTTGTATACAAAAAGAATGGTACAAAATTGCATATTGTACGTATCTTTTAAACGTATTTTTTTTAAAGACATATTTAACGTTGTAGTAAACATGAGTGAATGTAATATTATTTCTAGTTTATAAGTAGTTTATAATTCATACTTCAAAGTTGTCCATGTATTTCCAATGATGAAATTTCAGTATCTTATAACTGCAAGTTTATAACGTATGGTAGCAAAAATGTGGCAACATTCTCGCAATAAAATAACTGCCCTGATAAAAATAAAAATTGTGTAAGTGAAATGTAATTTGTAAATGATTCTTCTATGTTTCGTTGTTTTAATTTTTGCCATCTAGAAGGTTTGTTTACGTTTTTGTTACTCTTTCATTACGTTCGATTTTTATTTTTATCAGAGTGTGTTTCTAGCATGTTTCTGTTCATTGAAGATAAAGTAGCAAGAACCGATTTTTTTTCTAAAAAAAGAATTGCAGTAAAATGTAAAACTCATATAGATGTATCAAGACAATTATGTATTGATTTATCTTACCATGTTGATTTGATAAGATATAATTAACATCAAAAATTATTATTAAATAATATTTGTAATTCAAATTAATGTGATTATAAAACAAACATAAAAAAACATTGTATTATAATTTTGTGCTATAGATTTTTCGTTTTTTATTAAACATAATGCACAAAAATCAAAATGTTCATACTATTTTTGTGCAATGAAAATATTCACATTATAAAATGCTTAATAATACATTATATAATTTATAATAAACAACAATTAATAGACAAAACTTTATTTTATTTTTTAATCACGATACAATAAATTTCTACATATTTTCTAGGTAAAAATTTCTCCACTTGTAACTACGTAATATTATAATCATGAACGTATCTATTTTTATGTTCATACAGCATGTTGAATGTTAATATATTATCTTCAACCATGTTTTGTCAATAGGAATGATATATAGCCAATCGATGATTTTAATATCTAAAATTAATTGTTACTGTTATTTCCTGACATTTGAGATATACGTAATCAATATCAACTTCGTGTACGTGTAAAAATCAAGATTCTGATTAACTATGATGGCTTTAATTTATATTATTATATTATATATTAATTTACATTATAAATAATATATTGTTATAAATATTTTTAATTTAATGTCATAAATGTGTGATAATTATTATTACCAGGATTGTTATTTAATTTATGTTAGAGAAAAAGACACTTATTATCAAAATTGTAGGAACATTCCTTGATGATCTTGAGTAATCTTAAAGATTAGTCTTTTAACTACCAATAAAAAAATTTTTTTTTAATGAGAAGAGATACATTTTACTTTTTCTATCGATAAGATTTAATCAGCTGAATATCTTTACATTATTTCTTCGAAAACTTAACTATTATCGAGATATAAACTAAAAGAAGTCAGGTTGTAAATTTGAAACTAATTTTTTTATTATTACAATAAAACTTTAAAATATTTACCAAGTTAATTTAAGTATGTCTTTGTATAGTCTTGCTAGAACCTTTTCTAATTCTTGAACCATCATTTAGCGAAAAATATTTTGTATATTTTGTTTTTCGGATTAATAGGATGTTAAAAATGAAAAATAAAAGAGCTAACTTTCAACGTCCTACCACTTCGAAAAACATAATAAAAAAAATAAAAAAATAATGATTCAAAAGTTAGAAAAAGTCTAAGCAAGCCTTCCACGAAGACTACAAACACATATAGATCAAAATAATGAATTTATTTTGAACATTTATTGTAATAATAAAAAGTGTGTTTCAAATTTATAATCTAAATTCTTTTAATTTATATCCTAAAAATAGTTAAGTTTTCGAAGAAATACTCTAATGTAAAGATATTCAGCTGATTGAGTATTATCGATAAAAAGAGTAAAATGTACCCCTTCCCATTAAAAAAAAATCTTTTCTCTTGACAATAAAAAGACTAAGCTGTAAGGTTACTCAAGATCATGAATGTATGTTCCTCTACTTATCCTACAATTTTGATAATAGATGTGTTCTCTATTTTTGAAAAAAAAGACTTGATGAACTCCTTATCAGACTCACCTTACACACACATACACACGAGCACACACGCACGCACGCACGCACGCACGCACATACATACAAGCACGTGCGCGCGCAGGGGAAGAGAGAGAAACAGAAAGGCTGGGGGGAGCGGAAAGTTACATAGAATGTAAAACATATTTCATTAAACAACGAAAGAATATAATTAAAACGACAGAATTGTATAAATAATCTTACGCTGCAAAAAGTAGTCATTGTTAGTGGAAAAATATTTCCTGCAGTGATATAAAAAGGATATTTAGCTCGTACCATTAACAAAATAAGACTTCTTGCTTTACTTGATTCTAACTCGTACCACTCTAGATCGCACATTGCACGATATACTGCATTGCACTTAATAAATGCGTATAAAAAAATATATTAACATCCATGACATTTCAATAAGAATTATTTCAAAAAATATCAGTATAATAATATAGTAATATAATAATAGTATAATATTAGTAATATATAACGATATAATATTAGTCTAATAAATATAATAAACTTATTTATATACAATACTATTTATACTCATTATAACTTACTTGTTCTACTACAAGCTCTCCTGCTCCACAATGTAGAAAAGTATTCATCAAAACGATAACAAGAAGTAATAGAGAGAAGTATCCTTGTGCGATATCAGCCTTATTTATATTTTTGTCAGTTAATATCTGAAATATTATACAGAAGCAAAGAAAGCGTACTATGTCTGCTAAAAAATATTTTCTCACATTTGTATTTTACTGATCTTACAATAGTAAATGAAAACCCGCTTAAGCAAAGTACAATAATAAAATGAAATAGCAATATTATCATCATTAAAGAGTATGTATTTTCGATATTGTCGGCAAATCTACAAGAATAAAAATATTTAAAAGAGTAATTATTGTATTAAATCAATAAAATACTATATACATATATGTAATATAGTAGTAGTAGTAGTAGTTTATTACGTGCTCACCAACGTGATTACACGGACTTCCATTAAATACAATACATCTTAAATATACATATACATTTCTTGCTTACTTGCTAACTAATCTACACATTCAAACTCACTTTCATACTCATTTACATTTTATGTCACTCACTCACTCACCCTTTCTCTCTCTCTCTCTCTCTCTCTCTCTCTCTCT